TTTAAATCCCTCCCCGGCATGGCACGGCCAGAGCAGCCCCGTGGTGGTTTTGTTCTTTTCTTTAAGTCCTCATCATCGAATCCCAGCAAAATTCACCGGGGTTTAATTTTTTTAATTTTTTTTTTGGTTTTTTTTTTTTTTTTTAATTTTACCGTTCACTTGGAAAACAAAAGCTTTTGCCCGTTCGGCAGTGGAGGAGCCCAGCCAGGCTGGGAGCCTCTTCCAGTGCCCCAAGTTTGCGAGCCCCAAGCCGAAGGGCCGTCCATCACCTCGGCCAGCGCTGGCTGCCCTTTAACCATTTCGTTCTAAAAAAACCCCCCAACCCCCAACTTGCTCGCAGGGGAAGTTTTCTTTTTAAAAAACAACAACGAAAAAAAGGAACGAAATATCGATCCTCAGCGGTGCCCCTCGCCTCGGGGCCGCATCGAAAGCCAAGTCACCAACACCTCCCATCTCGCGTGCAGGCTCGGGTGGGCTCCTCCTGCCTCCTCCGGCTCACACGGATTCTTTTTCCCCCAACAGAAATTAAAAAAAAAAAAAAATTCAAAACAAGAAAGGAAAGCGCTGTATTACCTTTGCTTTTTAGGTACTGAATGTTCAATCTCTAGCTGTTTTCCATGAAGCTCCACTTTCCCTAAAAACAAAATGTGTCTGTTTTTTAAAATCCGGGTGGAGTGGTCGGCAAGCCGTGGGCAACGCCGTCGCGTGAGACCTCGCCATTCCGTCCACATTACGACGAACTACGCACAAATACATTTTCTGATCCCTTTACAAGTGCATTTTATTAAATATAAGACTGGCTTCAACTGGGAAGCGGTGGGAGGGAGTGGCGAGTGAGCTGTCTGGACAATGTTCCTCAGGAATATTTAATTCCTTAGTTCATCCCGCTCTGAGTGGAAGAAAATGAGGAATAATATTTTGAGACCAATTCTTTGCCTTTAGCCCATTCCACCCGGTTCAATCCCTGCGCGAAGTCCTTCGGGCAGATTTCCTCCCCCCGGTAAAAGGCTCAAAAATTGTAACTCCATGGCAGCAATGGATCTCTCTTTGAAAATGGAGTGGGCTCCTCTGCTGCTAGGCTAGGGGGGAGATTTTTATTTTTTTTTTGGAGGGGGGAGAAGAGGGG